GCAGTGTCGTATCATTTACACGTAATTCGCGTTGAACTCCGCCGTACAGAGAAGCAGCTCCGCGCAAAATTCAGCCGTGCCTAAGAGATTAATTATAATTTGAAAATCTGATTGAATTTTCGTGACTGATTAAACGGTATTAAAATTTGTTTGTCCCCTGCTTTACAACGTCGCGAGAGTTGACACGGTTCCGAGTGAAGTTTCCGAAAAATTCGAATACAAGCCGGACGAGGAGGCGGAAACTTTTCGGCCGACTATACTGCATGCACACGCGTCTACGTAGCTGCCGGTAAAGTTCAGCGGCTCAGGCCGGGATGTAAAACTTGGGAAATTGGTTCTGACGTTGACTGGGTCCCAAGCGCAGCGCGAGGCGCGCACCGAACTTGAGACATTTGTCCGCGGGAGCCGACCGTAAATTCGAACGAATTTATGCTCTTCTCTACCACCACCCCTCCTCCACCCTTTTCCTCTTTCCACCTCCGTATTTCATATTTGCGAGCGAAACGAGCGGCCTGGCACACTTTCGCGGATCCGTCCGTTCCGTATCGAGTTTATACGGCTCCCGCTGAGACTACCTCTCCCCCCCCCCTCCTTTCGTTCCCCGCGTTCCTCCTTTCCTCAGCCGGCAAATCTCCGCTACGGCTGCAAATTTCATCGGGCAATCGTTTCGTTCCGTTGACGTTTAGACACCGTCGACAGAAATTTCTATAATCGGGCGCGAAGTCGCAGTCACTTGCAGGTTAACGATATTATGCTCCTTACTAGAAGCACGGGAATTACTAATTCTGGATATTTATCAAACGGTTGAGAGCCACGTCGTTGTGTATGTAGGTCATACGGGAAGGATGCCTGAGACTACTTAGGTGAGCTCGGCTGTTACGAGGGTCAGGCAACGGTGAATTTCCGCACTTTTAGTTTTTACCGCGGTTCTTATGTCTCCACGTGCAGGGAACGAAGTTCCGGTAAGAAAGTTCGACAGCCAGAAATATGATAATTCGGGAGACAGGGAAGTGGTATCGTTTTTGTTTTAACGACGCCCTTACTTGTGACGTCGTCGTTGTTACCACGGCACCTTCACTTTCTCAGATATTAGCCAAGCGTCTGATGCGAAACGGTGCTTTCTACTTAAAGCATTCGCATTAAAGAAGAATTTCAATATTAGCAGGTTTTTATTCTAATTTTTGTTGACCGTTATACAGGGTGGGTCAGAAATCGTAGTACAATCGTACAACTGTGCAGGGGATAATTCTACGTTAAAAAACATTTTTTATCCGGTGCTCCGTTTTCGTGAAAATCGACTTCGAAGTTTGTTCTTTCGACGTCTGATTTATTTTTAATTCTAGGAAATGCGTTCTTAAATTTTTGAGATTGACTGTATAGCCAATAAATCCTAATATTTTAAGGATATTGGAATATGGGGTTTATTCNTAGCACGTAACTATTTATTATTAGCATTGTTCTTCCGATGTCTGATTTCTTTGTAATTATAGGAAGTGGATTTTTCTGAAGTACGTAAACTTTTGGGATTGACTGTGTAGCCAATACATTCTTCTCGGTTCCTCGGACTCAATTTCATCTTTCCTTTTTATCACAGTAGTTTTATTCTGTTGTCTCGGCTGTCGTGTTTCGTTCGATTGAAGAGCGTCTCGCGAGCTCCAGGCTGGTTTTTGAATGTAAATGGCCGGGGCAAGTGGAGAGGATGAACCTCGCGGAGGCGATAGAGATCTCTGGATCTGGAAAAAGGCTATGCCAGGCATGGATGAAATTGCCTCTCGGCGTCATGTCGCGCGAAAACATCCGGGAAACTCTCCTCGCTTCGAGAAGCGATGATCGTTCGCGGGTTCATACACAGATCACTCGATTTCAACTTTTCCTCAGAACCTTAGCAAAACGGCTAGTCTCTCATTTACAACTCGGTATATATTTTGTTCTCTGGAATGTGTCAGTCAAATGTAGATCAAATTATTGTACACTTAACCCTTTGCACTCCGAACTTTATTTCAATTTCGTTACCAGCAGCTCCCAACGCTTTTACATGTTTTATGTGAAATTTACTTTAACTAATGAATAAGGCAATTTAAATAAATAAATAAACAAACAAATTCATGTAAAT